CTTTGGTCACTGTTCCTTCATTCTGCAATTCTGAGGCTCTAGCAGTATTTGGTAAATGAGTATATACTACTATTTAAATCTAATTTTTTTCTGCCTACTGTGTACAAATGGGATTTAATCTGAGAACCTGTTCTAGATTTGTCAGCGTGGGTAGAAGATAAATAGGAAAGTCAGAAGAGATTCTATATTGTTATAAATTGAGAACTGATCTTTGCTTCTACTGCAAATGCAAGTGCCATTGATTTAACAGAGAATTTATAGGCAAAGACAGTAACATGTAGGTTTAATATTTCATTTGACAAGAAATTGCTGTCCATTCAATCCATTTAAGCATTTGTATGCAAAGTAAGAGTAATAATGTTCGGTATTATTTCGGTTGGTTTTAGCACTTCCAGGATATTTACAGCAATAAATTTTAATTCAGCTTACTCAAACTTAGTTTAGGGACAGACCTCTATGGTATGGGTCATAGTTTGGACTTGATGGCTTGGATTGTCCTGAAGAGCTCAACCAAAGCAGAAATAATTCACAAGGGATCATAAGCAGGACGGTAGGCCAAGACCTACTGGCTGCATAGCCGTGTTTTGAACGAGAAAGTGATTTGTTGCTGCTGGCAGGGTGCACGATGCCACTTGAGAAGTCCTTGTGTAGCAAAGCTAACTGTAAAGGATTTCTGGACGCAAACTGAACTTGAGAAGGGGTAAGGAGAGCTAGGCAGAGTGAGAAGGCAAGTGGCTTAAACCCTCTTGCACCTTGGCTGAAGAATGTTCAGGGCATGTGTGACTGAATTAATGTTTCTTGTTACTGCCAACAGGATTGTGATGTAAACCTTATAGTCCACAGCACAGTGGCATAAGTTTACAGGAAGCTGCACGTTGGCCATACTGAATGAGGGTTTAGTAGACTGAGAGCTGGGCAAGGCCAGATGTCTAAAAAGCGTGAATATTTCATCCCCTTGTAGATCCAAAAGGTTTTCCTAATACATTGTAAATGACTGATTTTTAGCACTAGTTTTCTCAGATGATCACAGCAAGTCAGGCATAGCAAGATTAGCCCTGAGTTAGTTGAGATGCAGATTGTTTTCCAGTGGATACCCACTGAAGAAAGGCTTCTACTCCGTAGAAACGTTACTGAGGCAGAAAACTCAAGAAACTGGTTTGGAAGTGTTCAGCAACAACTGCATCTGCTGTGGTGTGTAACTCCCCCAAAACCTCTCCAGTGCAGGATGCGTTAGCGCTTCCATTTAGCAAGGCTGTGTTATCTGGGGTGTGGTGTTCATTCATCATCACTCACACTCGGCTAAAATTTGGCCAGTTGTTTCAGCCTTGCGGAAAGATCCGATAAACTTGAAAGCGGTCTTTTTGGCTGTTTTGAAGAGACAAGTGTACATAGTTTAAACTATATTCTCTTGGCAGTAGCGTATCAGAAGTTTTTCCAGGAAAAATATCTTCAGAAAGGCCACAGGGTCTGCACATAATATTGTAAGGTATTCTGGATTTCTCCTGTAAATAGCCTGGCTTTTAAAAACATGTAAACTGCTTATAGCAATTAATAGATAAGTACTTGAATCCAGGCACCCTTTTCTAAAGGATCCTCAAGAAAATTTTGTGATGAGGAGAAAAATAAGTGGAAAGTTTATCAGATGATCACAGCAAGTGAAAGACTCATTGATATTAGCACTAGATGCACCAGATACAGACCCTTTTAGGACAAAGTATGGATCAAGCTAATAGAAGTAACTGGCCAAAGTTATTGTGAATTAACTGCAAAACAAGGAACAGGAAACTCAGAAGCCTGGGGTAGGACTGCCAGAGTAGCTATGCAAAACTCAAAGGGTTAGCACTTTGTGCTTATGACAGTGAAATCCAGCATTTGATTAAATTGTAAGTGCAATATGGCTTTCTTATTCCTAAACAAAAACCAAACAAACAAGACCAAACAAATGAAACTTCAGAAAAACCCAAACCAAAACCACCACACCTCAAAGGCCAGACTGGAAGAACAGAAACTGAAGACTGCACTGGTGTGAATGTGTGATTTCCTTTGTCCACATGCTGTGGCCCTCTCACAATATGGGTATCTCTGCTGGATCCTAACTACCCTTCTTAAAACTACACTGCCCTTGTTGAGCATCAGGGTGGTGCTTGGTAGGGAATTATTTCTTTATAAAACCTACTTCATATGATAAAACTTATGTACAAAGGTTTCAGTCCTTTGTGTCTGGGAATTTGGTACAGCATCTCACAGGACACAGTCCCACCTCAGATGGGCTATCTCAGAGCTTAATTAATGATAATATAACAGGCTCTGTACTCTTTCCAGTTCAGACTGGATAGCTGCTTAGCTACCTTCTTGAATACCTTTTGAGAAGCTATGAATTTTATTTCAGAAAATCCTATGTGCCTACAGAAAATTTGAGCACTCTTAAGCAGCAGAACAGTTATGCTGCAGAGATGTTCTTTAGATGGATGAGACCAGCAGAGCCCAGAAAATATTCCTGTTTTATTATTTCAAATTTATTTTTCAATTATTGTCTTCCTGTTCGGAGAAGATCCTTTCTGGCAGTGATTCAGCCTTCTTAGGAATTTTTTGTATCTCATTAACTGGGACTAGTTCCCAGGACATCAGATTTGCCATCATCTAATACGTCTGAAATCACTTGTGACAAGCAGCTCTGTGGGCCTCGCTCTGCTGAAGAACTTTAAGAATGCTCAAAAGTTGGGAATTTTTTTTACTGAACATAGATAAAACTGCTGTTCTTCTGTATGTACATTATTCTTTGCATGAGGCAGAAAGTGCAGAAAAGGATGTCAGCATCTGCTAAGTGCTGAGCTGTCTGGAGATCTACCTTTGAACCCTGTTCAATCTTCACAGCCCTAAGCTGCACATATTCTGTGTATGTATATATATATATATATAAAAGTAGCTGTTCTTTGCATATCTGCATTCAAGATCGGAATAGCTGTGGTTTGATGCCAGTGTTACATTTCAGATACATTCAGAGTTTCTTCAATTTCTTTTTCTTAAATTCCAGTCTTGAATGGAACTGATGGGACACCTCAGGGGTTAAATAATTGCTAGACAGAGTCAGAGATGAAGAGGACAGACAGTAATGAAAATGATAGGAAGAGAATGAGCATTAACTGTGTTTTCACTTCGCAGTTCAATATTAGTTTTGTTGCTGCAAGTCAAGTATCAATTCTGTGTTTCCTCCCTCATTAGCTTTTCTTCCTTGTATAGGCATATCTTGTAGTGATCTTTTGTTCTCCCTTTTACCAGAGCCCCTTTTTTTCGCCTGATAGGTCTAAATCTGCTGTGCAAAAAATACTAAATCACATTAGTCTCCCTGTCTGATGGATGCTGCCCTCTAAGGAGCAGGAATCAATAGCAAAGGCAGTATCTGAGTAAGATAAGTGCAGGTTTTTGCAACTGAAGAATGAGTGTATGGCTAAACTAACAGCACAGCAAGTCCTCTTCTCTGGCCTTGTATTGCTGAAATTCTTGAACAGGAATTGTTCTTAGTGATAATGGAAGATAAATAGTCGTGCCCACAAACACCACTGTCTCTCTTTCCTTACCTTCCTTAAATCAAACCCAAGTACTGCACTACTAAGGCAGGAACAAATGAGAACATGAAAAATAAATGGTGTAACTTCACCCGTGGAAGGGCTGGGTGGCAGAGCTGGTTGCCTGGTAGTTGTCAGGTACTTTAATCCATATACAACATCATCTCATATAGATACTTCTAAATACTAAGCCTGGTCAAACGGAAGTGTCAAATGTGAACCAAAAATGTTTTGTTATTCATCTCAGTAGACATAAGGAGAGGTTGAATTTAGTAATGCACAGTCTCAAGTATAATGAAGTAGGAAATGGATTTGATGACATTTTACAAGTCAGCTACAGACTAAACAGATATGTCATGCATATAACATCTGAGTGGACAGGGAATATTTTGTGGAAAAGGATTTGAAGTTAACTTGGTTGGAAAGCCAGATACAATTTTAAAGACTTTTACAATTCATTACTTGTCACTATTAAGGGTTGTTTTCTAGGATTAATTATTTTAGGATTAAAAAAGCCCGATGTGGACATTGCATGCTTAATTTCTGGTGCAAGGAAGTCAATACATTGGTTGCCTTGGTCTCCTAAGAAGAAATCACATTAATATCTGTACCTTGATCTTTCCTGTCCTTACAGGCCTGAAATCTAATCAGCTTTGTTTATTATGGGTATCAATGTATTTAAGAGAATGAATGGCTCAGTGGATTTGGATTTGGGTAACAGGATCTAGAGTATTTAGTATCTTTACATCAATAGCTCAAATTCAGCTCAAGCTGTCTGTGCTTGTGTAGCTTCTGAATTCACAGGCATCTGTGAATTAAGGTAATGGTCCCAGAAGTGGCTCTAGAAAGCTCTCTCTATTAATGTCCGTATCAACAGTGTCAGGAAGAAGGACAAGGAATGAAATGGCAGGTTGAAAACTGTCATTCGTTCTCTAAATTCATCTGTAACAATGGAGCAATTGAGAAAATACGTTTGACAAAATGAGGAGGCAGGGGGTTTACACAAATACCTAACTGCAGTGTCACCTTATTGCCTCGGACTGTTAGATAGATGGGGATTTAAAAAGGTGTTGGGCAAATCATCGAGAGCAGATAGATTTTGATGTAGCCTCTAGCTAGGACATCTTGACTACTTGAGTGGGAAGGTGTGAAGAGGAAAGGCTGTTCTGTATTGTCTTGTTTCTTACAGCATTTTACCCTAAGTAATCACTAGTGGCCTGTGTTGAGGACAGGGTACCAGACTAGATAGACCTCTGGACTGAAGCAATTTGGCAGATCTTACATTCTTGTCGCTATTGTCACATCGTGAGGGCAATGTTGTATCATAACAGGTGAACTAGAAGAAAAATGGCAGTGGTGTGTCAGCAAGTAATGAGTGCTCACAAAGCAGTGCAATGTGTTGGTCCCTCATTTCCCTTTTTTATTTTTGTTCAGGCAGGTGACAAGCATTATCATCCGAGCTGTGCACGATGCAGCAGGTGCAACCAAATGTTCACGGAAGGAGAAGAAATGTATCTGCAAGGTAAGGAGGTCTCCATTTCCAAACAAGAAAATCAGACTTTGTCATTTTTCTGTCACAGACCTCCGGAGCTTATAAACCACCCCTATGTAATATGCGCAAGGAGGGCTACAGCCATCCTGTCTTCAGTTGTGTTCTCATACTTTTTCACTTGAAACCCTTTCGCTCTAGTCGGTGGCCATAACAGTGGCATTGCAGTGACTCTGCACCCTAGCTGAGGCAGACGGTGTTTTCAAAAGCTGTGTAGCAAAACTGAAATTTATTAGGCTGCTTCTGAATTTGGGAGCTCTCGGATAGCTTAGCACACAGACTGGTGTATGAGGTACCAGACAAAGGGAGAGGGTTTGCCCTGAATTCTTCTGATCAGTTTCTGTGCTCTTCTGGACCACACTCCAAACTGTACATGGCAATGGAAAAACTTTGGAGGCTGCAGTGAGCTTGTTCTGAATCGTGTAGGTCTCCTTCTCCATGCACATTGACAAGAGTGCCTCCTCTGATTCTTAATCATGTTTCCTTGCCTTGCCTATTTCCCTTTTATCTGGTCACGTTTCTCTTTTTATTCCCATTTACTTTATTTTTATGTCTTTCTACAGTCACTTCTTGTATGTTCATTTTCATCTCCGGTTTGTTATTAGCAATCTAACACTCCCAGGTATTGACAAGCACATTTGCATCATGACATTTTCACATAAAAAAGAGCATGCTCTTTTCTTTGGTTGAAAAGTATCCTTGATCTGAATTCCACTTACTCTCCCAGAAGGTAGCATGTTAACTATTAAGCTACAGTTATTTTTATTAATTACTTGCTCTAGTATTAATTAATGTTGTAGAAAGATGTATAATACGCATTTATGCAAGCCAGAAATCAAAGTGAAAAAGGCAGAGAGATGTTAGGATTTTGTATATTGTACTTATGTTAGAAAACTTGCTTGATATACCTGAGAGGACTGTAAAAGAGCGGGAAAGAAATGATGAAAGTGTGGTGGAAGCCATCTCTTGATATCCTGAGGAAAGATTCCTTCTGGAGGAATTCCAAAATTAAGATAATATTCTTAAGGAATTTCATCGAAGCGAACTGTCGTTATTTCGTAGTTCGTCCTCCCTTGCAGTCCATCTCTGTCATCTCTCACTGACTTTATACCTTAGTCATCTTATTCCAGCTGTGCACAGAACTGGATATCCAGTTGTGTAGCAGCTCTGCATTGCAAGAGCAAGGAGAGGCTGAAAGAGGGCTGGGTAGGAAGTACTGCTTTCTGATGGCAAATTGGAAAGACTAAGTTGAAAGCAGCAGTTACTGCATCTGACAACTGGTAATCTTCTTAGTTTCCTCATATCATAGTGTAATAAGTACAGACAGAGTTCAAGGTGAGCATCAGTTCATCCTTTGCTGTTTGCAACCGATGCTGTTTGCACTAGTCTAGCAGAGAGTGGGAGTTCATGTTGATTGGGCAGGCTGTGGTGTAAGTTTCTGCAGACCTGAATAAGACAAAAGGTACTGCTTCTACTTGAACAAGGCTAGATTTTATCCTGGCCAAGTTCAGGTGATATGAAAGAGGACGGGAGAGACACCTGGCTCCTGGATCTGCCATCATTCTCTTCTTGGCTGTATCTCCCTTTCTGTGCTTGTGAATTAATGTTCTTCATGCTCGCTCTGTCTCATAGGAGGAGCAGCCCAAGTTGCTTTGCTTTCTCGTTCACAAGCTGTTTTCTAACTAAATAATGTTACTGCTGAGTGTGCTCCAGACTGTCCTGCCAAAGCTTTCCTTGCTGGATTCAGCATGTTTGTAAGTGTAACAGACCTAAAAGCCTTTCCTGTGCAAAGTTCTCAGCTGAAATACATATCCTGACTCCATCCAAATTGTTTGCCCTAGGGTGCAGTATAAGAGCATTCCAAGCATTTCTCTGAAATAAAAGTACACCACCACAACACTAAAGATAGAACCAAAATCACATGATTGATAAAATATATGAAAATAGGCAGCTTCCATTTCACTTCTAATTGTCCCCTCCACA